CCTGGACCTGGCAACTTAAAACTCACACTGGGTACGAGGAAAGAACCATCATTGCTCCTGAGAACTAGTGATTTCAGAGAAAAAAGAGAAATGAAGATTTTCTACTGATAATTTAGGCTTCAGCCCCCAAACTCGAGTGATAGGGAGGCCCTCTAGCCTTCTCGCTGTCTCTGTCTCTCTGCCTCTCTCTCTCTGTCTCCTCATTTTTTTTTTTTGTAATTTTTCCTTTTCAAAAGTTTTTAAGGTAAAGTATTTTCTTGGCTTTAAGTTCTTCCTTTATCTTGTTAATAATTCCCTTTCCCCCTCCCCTCCAGGAGAAGCAAGAGACAGGTCTTCAGAAGAAGACTCTACCATTGCTCCTGAGAACTATGATTTTGTACAGCATGCTTGCACGCCATGTGGTTTTTTAGTTTTGTTTTTTTTTAAAGTAAAATTTTCACTGTCTTTTTCTTTTTTCCCTCCTTTTTCTTCCTCCTTTTTTCTCTCTTTTTGTTTCCTTCTTTTTTCTTTTATCTCATCACTCTGCTTCTCAATCTCCATTCACTGTGTTTTTAGATGGATTTAAGGGAACCATAGCCAAACATCCAAATACTGTTAGGGTTAACATATTCATCAATACCCACTAAATCTGTTGCACAAAGGGATAAAAACAGTACAGCAAAGAAATTCCAGATCACCTCCTTCTGCACACTCCTGAATGCTCAGATTGAACTTCAGGAATTTGGAAGAAACACACCATCTACCAGATGAGTAGAAATCACCACAGAATCACAAGAAATATGGGAAAGCAAGAAAATACCTCTCCTCCAAGGGAAAAGAATAACTCTTCTACATCCACAGACAATTCAATGCAAATTATGGAAATATCTGATAAAGAATTTAGAATATTCATAATGACAAAGCTAACAGAAGTGGAAGAAAAGAGAGGCAATGAATTGCAGAAGATGCAGGAGAAAGGAGTTGAAAAGTTCCAGGAGCTGAGGAAATTCTTACAAGATCTAAAAGAAGAAATACACACTATAAAAAAGAATCAAATAGACCTGTTAAGAGATGAAAGCTATAATACAGGAAGTCAAATTCTCCCTTGAAGTACTAAAAGCAGATTAGATCATACAGAAGATCAAATCTCAGATGTAGAAGACAGAATTGCTGGCCTAGAAAAATCTACTGCAAAGACTGAGAAAATGGCCCAATACAATGAGAATAATATATGAGAAATACTAGATACCATCGAACATCCAAACATCTGTATAATTGGTATCCTAGAAAGCAAAGAGACTCATAAGGGTATTGATACTGCATTCCATAAAATCCTGCAAGAAAACTTCCCAAACCCAAGAAACACAAAGTACCCCAAATAGAATCAACCCAAAAAGATCTTCTCCAAGACACATTATAGCCAGGTTGACCAAAACCACAGACAAAGACAAGATACTAAGACTGGCACGAGAAAAATGGCAAGTTACCTACAAAGGATATCCCCATCATGCTAACAGCAGACCTCTCATAGGAAACAATGCGAGTGAGGAAAGAATGGGAAAATATATTTAAAGTGTTAAGGGAAAAGCAATTTCATCCAAGAATACTGTACCTGGCAAGATTATCCTTCATATGGGAAGACAATATAAGAACATTCTCAGATAAAAAAAAACCTGAAAGAATTAACAACAGCAGATCAGATCTCCAAGAAGTTCTCAAGGGAGTGCTATACCAGGAAAATTAAATACAGACACACAGAAATAAGAGTTCAAAAACTAAGAAAATGGCCAACTAGAAATGGAAAGTTATTGACGATAACATGAATGATTAAGCCACCTATGCAGTATATTCTGGATGGGAAATCACATTTTGTATGCTGTGATGATACTCAGGGACTGAATGTAAATTAATTAATTAAGAAAAAATGTTTCAGAAAAAAAAAGCTCATGGAAATAAGTGTAATCAGAAAACTATGTATGAATTTCAAAAAGGTTTTGTACCAAAATAAATGTATACTTTAATTGTAAAAAAATAAATTTAATTTAATTAAAAAAAAAAGAAAACTCACACTGGGTACATGTGCGTGTGTGCCATAATCCTGAGAGGAGACTGGAGGAGAAGGGACTGTGGCCTGGCCATCTCTTCTGGAGGGTGATTTCTTGCTTTCTGTCTCTCTGTCTCTCTCTGTCTCTGTGGTGAGCTCACATGCTGTATAGCAATAAGAAATATTGATAAGCAATAATAATAATAACAAATAAAATAATTTTAAAAACAAGATGAGCAACATGATTCCACTTACATGAAATTCAAGAAAAAGTAAAACTAATCTGTGATGACATAAGTAAAAATAGTTATCTCTGGTACATTGGAAAGAAGCAAAAAAAATCAATATATTTAGAGAGTTACATGGTATATATGGTTACAGGTATATATACTTATAATTTCATCAAGATACACATTTAAGGGGCCAGTAGTTAGCATAATGGCTATGTCACTGGACTCCCATGTAGTCCACCGCGGTTCGAGTCCCAGACCCGGTGGCTTAAACTCACACCGGACGCATGTGCGTGCGTGCCCAAGATCCCGAGAGGAGAATGGAGGAGAAGGGATTGCGGTGTGGCCATCCCCCCTGGGGGGTGATTTCTCACTTTCTGTCTCTCTGCCTCTCTCTGTCTTTCTGGCAAGCGCATGTGCCCTATAGCAAAAACCTCTCAAAAAAAGAAAAAAAAAAGATACACATTTAACATTAGTGCAATTTACAGTATTTGTTGTACCTTAAAGTGTAACTGTGTGTGTGCATGTGTGTGCATGTGTGTTTATACTTGCACAGTACTTCTCTCTTATCCATGGTGAATATATTTCACAACTTCCAGTAGACATCTGAAACCATGAATAGCACTGAACCAATTATGTTGTTTCTTTTCCTGTACACACATACCTATGGTAAATTTAATTTATAAATCAGGCACAGTAACAGATTAACAATAATCTAAAAATGGAACAATTATAACAATATACTGTAATAAAAGTTATTTTATTATTAGTATTAGTATTAGTATGATTCTCTAGCTCTCAAAATATTATTGTGGCACACCTACCCTTCTTGTGATCTGTTGCTCTGATAACTGAGATGGTTATTAATTGACTATTGGGCAGGTAGCATGTCAAACATGGATATGCTGGACAACTGTATGATTCATGTCTTGGGAAGGATGAAGCAGGAAGGAGTAATATTCTACCATGCTACTCAGAATGGTATGCAATTTAAAATGTATGAATTGTTTATATCTGGGATTTTCCATTTAATCTTTTCAGAGTTGCTCATTGGTAACTGAAACCATGAAAGCCAAAACCACAGAGAACGGGAGGCTGCTGTTTATAGGCATATGTACTTACTTAGGACTGAACCAGATCACTTTCCTTTGTTCTAAATTTTCCTAAAGCTTGCAAAGAGTCATTTCAGGTAGCAAGCAGACTGCTTTGGTCTAGTGATTTTGTGATACTCCCTACATCTTGCCTCTGGCAACATCATGTGAGCACATAACAAAACCTTCCTGTCTCTGTTAGTGAAATAGACATTCCTATGCTTATTCTGAGTCTTTTGGAGACAAACATTTGTGCGTTTAACTAATTACTAGCCTAAAAATTTTTAAATCCACCATAACCTTTAAGCTTTTGCTTCTAAATTGGTTGCATTTGGGGGCCAGGCCAATATGAAAACTCCATGTGTTGATTTACAGTTTTGCTTGAAACTCCTGCTCTCAGAACTAAATAAAGGAATTGCTATACCTCACCTTCAAATAATACTTTCTCTGGGCTACCAGAGACTGTGCTCCCAGGCCATGATCACTCATAATACTCGCAATTTTGACTATGAATACACCTTTAAAAAATACTTTTACAGAGCTTTGCTATTCCCATCAACAATACAGATAGATAATTACATTTTTATTGCTGTATAACATTTCTTTTAAATCACATTAATGTACACACACACACACAAATGCAAACTTCTTTTTTGTTAGAGTGTTGTTTTTTTCTTTTGCCTTAGGGTGTGTGTGCTCTTGCAAGAGAGAGACAGAAAGAGACAGTGGGAGGAAAAGAGAAATCACCCCACAGGGGAATGGCCACACTACAATTCCTTCCTCCATTCTCCTCTCGGGATCTTGGGCACACACGCACACACGCCCAGCATGAGTTTCAAGCCATGGGGTCCAGGACTTGAACCACGGTTGGCCATGTGGGAGTCTAGGGACATAACCATTATGCAATCACAAACTTCTTAATGACTTTTAGTGAAATTTCATAATAAACATTGCATGTTTGAAATTAACTTAGTGACCCACAGAGACTAAAGTAGTATGTTGTCACTATAATTTGGGATCTCAATTTAAGAACATATATATTTTAACTACATTTCCATTTTTTGCCCCTCTGAGAGACTACAAAAAAATGGCCCTTCTGTAATTCTTCATATCAAGAGATGAAGTCTGTTTTATACTCCTTGAATATGGATTGGCTTTGTAATTTGCTTTGTTCAATAGAATGAGGTAGAAGCCACATTATCTTAGTTTGAGACTAGGGTTTAAGAGGTTATACATTCTTTGCTTGCTGCTCCTGGGAACCTTGCCACTGCCGCCATGTGAACAGCTGGAACTAACCTGCTGGATAATGAGAGACCACACAGAGCCATACACCCAAGCTACTTTAGACTGGTCAGCCCTCAGATCACCAAGTAGCTGATGTATGAGTGAACCCAACTGAGATAGCCAAGCCTATCCTTTATCATCAGAACCACCCAGCTAAGCCCAACTCAAATTTCATTTACCATGAGCTAAATAAATGATTGCTATAATAAGCCAACACGTTTTGGGGTGGTTTGTAAAATAGCAAAAGCTAAATGATATAAATCCTTTCTGATTTTTTTTTACCTGAAAAAGTAAGCTTTTAGAATAATGCTATCTTTGGATGATTTCATAGTTCATATTCACTGAGAAATGAATATAGATAAATACTCTTACCTCAATTGGATTCCTATAAAAAGACTGCTTTCCAGAAGATGGAAATGACATGGCAATAATACGCCCTGGAAGTCAAAATAGTCAATATTATGAATGTCATTATAGATGCGAAACCTATGAATATTTATGAAAGTTTAATAATCAGATTTCTTTTTACAGAAAAAAATTTCAGAATTGAGAATGACAGGAAAAAATCTAACACATACTTAGGAACATAGTAAATTATCTAATACAATGATCATTAAACTGGAGTGATGGGAGCATGCATGATAGATGTTGCTACTTAGCAGGATGAGGCCACATGGGAGGTCTGGGCTTGATTTCCAGCCCCCTTTAAAAGTCAGACAGAATGATCACCTATAGTCCTAGCCACTTGGGAGGTTGTGGCAGGAGGATCACAACACAGCAAGACATGTCAAAAAGTAAAAACCAACCGAAAAACCCCCGACATTGTGTTTCCAAGACTTGGTTGGTTCTAGTTTATGTAACAGATTTGAGTTGGCCTCAGACTGGAGCTTCTATTGTGGCTGGAATTTATCTTACACAAAATAAAAATGTAGAGCTCTGGGCTTCTCCATTGATTGTGGCAACTCTGAGGGTGCTTTCTAGCACTCATGAATCATAAAACGTGAGACAAACAAATCAGTAACCTAATTCTCTGGACTTCTGAGAAAAGATCTCTTTGAGATCCTCAGGACCGAGAGTAACTATTAAATCTCAATAAATTCTAAACTAAAATTAAATGGAGTCGCCTAAAACTCCATTCAACTTTCTGTACTGCAACCAGCTAGCCCTGATTTGAGATGACATAGAGATTTTCTATCACCAGGGCTAAACTACTACTACAGTGATATATGTCTATATGGATAAAGAAAACTTTGAAAGAACATGGCTTAGGCAAGGCAAAAACAGAATAAAAATATGATTAATCACAAAAAAAGTGAAATTAATGTAAGTATGGCAACAGTTAAACTTTGCAAACCTGTAACATAAGTGAGGTCTAGGTCAAATCCATCCTTTCTGTATCGTCTTTTGTTCCCTGACACCTGAAAGTTTAAAATAAGCATTAATTTGTAAAACACAAATCAATATAAAAATAAAGATCATTATATAAATATCTACACCCTCTGCAGTATTTACCAGAACATTTTTCTGAATCATAAATATGCTTAACCACTTACCAGCCTTCTCATCAGCTTTTCAAGCTGTCTTTTTTGATGAGCCAGGTGAAAAATTCTTGTCAAAATGATAAGTCGTAGTGGTCGAAATAAAATCGTCAATCTAACAATAAATTTAAAAGATCCATTTTGATTCAGAAACAGAGGACTTCTGTCAATATGGACTAACTGTAGAGAAACAATTCTTTTATATATATATATATATATATATATATATATACACACAC